TGTTGTTGTTGATGTTGATGTTGATGTTGATGTTGATTTTGATGATGTTGTTGTTGTTGTTGTTGTTGTTGTTGTTGTTGTTGTTGTTGTTGTTGTTGTTGTTGTTGTTGTTGTTGTTTGTAACTCTTCATCTTCGACATAGTGCTGTGATATTATCCTCATGGCCTGTCTCACGAGAATGGTCATCTTGTTCCATATTTGGCCATTTGCATCATCCGGTGGTGCTGGCGATGCTAGCCCCATTTGTCGTGCCATCTTCGCCGCCGAAGGCAAGGCAACTGGCGTCCCCATCCGATCGCGGCCCCGAGTATTCACACGGTAATGTCTCATATTCATCGCCGCCATCGGCACATGGCCTTTTTACTTCAATCATCATTGCCACCATCACCGCCATTATCAGCATAATCGCAGTCATCACCGAATCATCATCATCATCATCGTTGTCGTGTTTTGTCACTGGTCTCCTTGACATTGTCATTGTGAGCATCATCTTCATTTTCCATTTTCCGGTCGGCAAGTATTGGTGTTGAGCTGACCGGTGGACATCTATGCCACGCAAAACGAGCATGCCTGCGCCAGGTCTGTATGCATGAGTGCGAGGTGGTAGCTGGGTTATAGTTTCGGATTGGTGGGCTTGGAGTATAGAAGACGCCTTTGCTGTGGCACCGGAAGTACATGCTTGCAGCGATGGGCAGCGGGGCCTTGTGAGTGCAAAGCCTTCAGACTTTCTAAGCTATGTGTAGGTGATGGTGTACAACTACCAGCGCATCGAGGGCGAAGGTCGAAAACCTGAAGGCCAGTCTGGCTTTGGTTTGCTTTGGGCTTCAGGCCTGTGTGGCTTGATAAGGTTTCGGGGTTTAGGGATTGTTTCAGAGCTTGGCTGAAGGGACTCAGGGCCTAGTGCATGGCAGTCCCTGCTCAAAATAAGGGATTGTTTCAGATGCTTAGGGTCTCTGCCACGAGTGCAGCGGCTTTGAGAACCAGGTGGGGATGTACAAGTCTGTGCAGACAGGGTAAGTTTCTAGCAAGTCGAGTCACTTTACCTTCAGACTGTCGAGCCGACTTAGCAGCTTAGCATGCAAGCCACGCTTTCGGCTTCGGAGTTTAGGGTCTAGGGTTGGGGTTGCAGTGAGCGTGTGGAGCTACGTTGCTAGCAGACAATGACGGTTTTCCGCAATTGTTAGATTTTCCTGGTACAGCGTTGAATTTGTTCTTTGTGCCATTCAGTTGCTCGGCAGGCAGTGTTGTCATGCAAGCTCGGAGCAAGAGTCCACCACGGGTCGATGCCTTTCCTGTGCTTAAGCCGCTGACCATACGGCCCTCACCTTCCGAGATTTCAAGGTGAAGTGGTCTTCGTGAACCCTCGTATAACGGCGCATTCCGAGGAGGAGTGCGAGGCCCCGTATCACGTCGTGTTCTTCAGTGGCGGTACCTGGGGTGCCTTTTTGCGGTGAGTTGTGCAATCACCTAATGTATTCGGAAAGCCAACCCTGTTAGCAGACCCATTCAACCATATCCGACATTATCAAAGACACTTGCTCCGCCGTGGCCAAGATGCTGGAGGGCTGCCTCTCCTTCCCGAATTTCGGGGCCCCAGTGGTGCGGCCTGCGTGGGTGGAGGTCGGAGAGTTTCGGGTCTTGATCCTTGTAGAACTTCGGGCTTCAAACTTCATGGGCGAGCTTTTGGCATCTGTGGCGCGAGGTGTGGCCGTAGGGTGAGAGACTTCCAGTGTTCAGGCAATGTCTGTTTTAGCCATGGGGGGGGGAGGGGGTCTGCGTGAGGATGTATAGTGGCAGTTTGATTTAAGTAGAACTTGCCGCTGCACAGCTCTAGTTAAAAACGAACTCGAATGTCTTAGATTTCACATCAGCATACACAGTCCTGCAAATATATTATGTTGTAGGTTGTCTGTCTGCTTCATACTGTGACGTTGCTTTGGTATTGGTGTCGCCATGCTCTGATCATATGTTGGCGGCGCTGTACACAACGGGAGGCAGCATAGGGCATAGGGGCCGCACGGATCATGCGATTGGCACCCCCTTTCTATCAGGTGCAGGCGGTAGACTTGGATGGAAGCCCGCAGCTTGGCTAAGTCGAATCGGGAATTTGTCAGGATCCCAGTGTCACGTATTCACCCCCAGGCCATGCATTGCCTCTGTCGTAGGCACATGCGCGGAGAGGCAGCCATTTACTCACATGATCTGTCATCCGAGGTATACGAAGCGATTAGAAGGCCCGTCAGGTTGGTGGTTTCTTTGTACTTGAGACAGCAAAAAGCTAGCCTGCAGCAAACTATGACTTCAGAACGATTTCTGTCAGCCCTACCGTGGTTTTTCGGAGAGAGCCGAGAGCAGGTGACGAAGCTCGAGTTTTTCAGCACGAGTATGACCACTTGGATGTCGGAAGCTCAGATCTTCCGGTCGGACTCCGAGGACACTGCGTTTCATCTTCTTAGAGTCTTCTTTGCTCTGACTGTTCCTGGTGGTGTCACGCGCGGCTGTATAGCAAGAAGGGCGCAGCGCGGTGTCGAGCAGGGCAACGTCAAATTATGGTGGCTTTGATGATTGACTTATCATGGGATCGTTTTCAATGTAAACCTGGTGCTTGACTTAGTCTCAACTGTTTCGGCTGACTGCTGCCGTTGCCGTTGCTCGCTGATGAGGCTTGTCTATGTCAGTCTATGTGTATGAATGACGCCAGCATGCATGTAGGTATGTACTGAAGTATCAGTGTTTTCGTTTTGTGTGTTACATGTTCGTTGTGTTTGTTGCCGGCTGTTGGTTGTTATTGCCACTCTGCTGTGTTGCGGCGCCCGTGTTTGCCTGTGCTGTACGTTCTGTGGTGCCCTTGATGTCGCACCTGATATGTGTATGATATATGTGGTATATAAACAGTTGCACATGCTCATTGTTCTTTTTGCCCGACATCCCAGTACAGAGGAGATACAAGCAAAGGCACACTCACTCACACACCCCGGCAGATGGATGAATAGATAGACGTAGATAGAAAGATGGATAGACGGGTAGATGTCCACGCATGCATTCATCGTGTATTGTTGTGCGTCGTGCCGAGCTGCCGGACAGTTACCTCGCTATCTAATGTTGCTTCACCGCCGGGCGTAAAAATCCATGACATGTCGATCCTGTCTTCTGCTGCTATGGTTTATAATAGTCTGTCGCGGCATGATGAATCCTCAAGCAGGTCTTATGTTTCAATGTTGCTCCGCAGTCTCTGGTATTAACGGTATCGTCTTCACACGAACAGTCTAAACGTCTCGCGGCCTAAACCCTTTAAAACTGGCAGGGCATCGTTTATATAGACCACGTGGCTGACGAGAACAAGAAGGAGATCGCAGCCAAGCTCAAGACGCTCTGCATTGCTTCAGAAACCCAGGACCAGCCAGAAACCACAGTCACGCTGGAGGAGAGACAAAAGTAAACGGCTGGCGTAGATGTGTTCTTGTCGGTATGTGGATTGGTAGACCAGAGAAATCGACTTCTTTGACAAGGCCGAATCAACCAGCCAACATGAATATCACTATGTACGTAGGACCTTCAGGGTCCATTTGGCGTAGGGCCTGGATCTGTGGATGAAGACATATACATAGCTCGAGAGAGAGAGAGAGAGAGAGAGCGATAGCCCCATAGCATATGGGGGGCCCATGCGGCCGAGGG